GGTCCACGGCACTTTTCCACCATTCTTACGGGGCCGACCTTGTCTGACTCATGTCTTGATATTTTGTCGTTTTATACACCTCAAGATTACCTCATCTCGACGTCACTTCCCTTAGCCTTAATTCCGCAGCTCCTTTTTTTTTTCCTCTTTAATTTTATTTAGTAGTAATTATCATCTTCACTCCTTGCCCCTTGGTCCTTCCGGTGGAGAAACAAGATTACATTGCAGTAAAGTGGATGAAAATGTAATTATACACGTGTCAAAACAATTACATATATCTTTACATCTTTAATTAAGAGATTACGAGTTCGATTCACCACTCCCATATTAAAAAAAGTTATTTCATCAAAACTTAGAAAGAACTTATTTATTCTTAAAAGAAAAAACTCACTTTAGTTAAAAATTGACTAATTATTTACCTATCAACTTAAGCATAATTTAATTGGTTAAAACATATATTTATAATTAAAAAGCTGTAGATTTGAATATTCATCCTCAAGATATTGTTGAATTGAATTTTTTTTTATTTTATTAAGATAATTTTTATGAAAATTATCATTTAATCTTGTAATGTAATTTGCTATCTCTAAACTTTTCTTAATTTTCTATCTCATTCCTAAAATTTTAAAACTTTAATTTTGTTCATAGATCGGAGATTCGGTCCTCTATCCTCCCATAAACTTTAAATTTGATATTTTTTTTTCATTATTGAATGTATATGTCAATTATCGCTGAGCTATGCTCGCTTTGACAACTTTAAAATTGATCTTTAGTTTTTTCTTTCTTTTTTTACTCACTTTATTTATCACATAGTTCCTATGATAAAAATATCTTAATGTTTTTATTTTAAAGTTAAAAGATTCGAACTTTCAACATTTTAATGGAAGATATATATACCTCGACCAATTGAACTAAATAAGTTAATGACAAAACATGATATAAAATTTTTTTAGCTGATATGATGTAACTGTGTTCACGTATAATTAAAGGTAATGATATATTCTGAAAACTGAAACAAAAAACATCTATTATGACCAGTTTAATTAGATGAAGGCTAAATATATATATATATATATATATATCTAATGGTCTCCGATTCGAATTTGGCCACTCTTAAGTTTGGTCAGTTATTTTTTCAAATTCTCAATTTTAACTTTATTATATTAAAAATACTCAATTAAGTTGCTTAAGAAAATGTTAAATTTTGTTAAAATAAAATTGATGTATTTTTAATAACAGTAAATACGTGGATATGCAACTTATAAATAAATGAAATTCATTGATTGAATGGCCGAATTTCCTGCGTCAAATAAGATCGAGTGACATACTCTAAGGTTGAGAGGGATGGGGAACGGGGTGGGGTATGAGTTGAAAAATGAAGAATGAGAAAAATAAAATGAGAGGTGGGTTTGGGTTTGGGATGCTTTAAAGGTAAAAAGGACAATGGAGAAAATCCAAGGAGGAGTGGATGGATTTGACCTAATTCTCCCATATCGCAATCCCTTCCAATGGCATTTTCTTCCTCGGTCTTCAAACCCTTCATTAGAATAGATCTCAGAATTTCAGAATTGACTTTACGCCTATTTAACAACATTCTCATCTTTTTTTATTTCTTATTTTTAGTTAAACCGAAAAGTTTTAAATATTTTGTAATTATTTATGTTTCGTGTTTTTTATTTTCATTTTCGACACAATTGTTCAATTAAAATAAAAAAAATAACTAATAAAATTACATTTTTCTTTATTAAAAAGAAAGAATGTTCGGATCAATCAAATACAATATAATGAAAATTGAGAAGGTTTGGATGTGGAAGTGAGAAAATTGGAAAACGAGGGAAGGAGGTGAAGGGAAGAGGCGCAGTCGCCGGCGCCGGCGGGGCGATGGTCGTACGTGTAAGCTACGCGAAATGATTTGAAAGTAGAAACTTCAGTCTTTGGCCGTTTGACTTTTGGCGGAAAGAAAAAAATAAGGAGACCGGAGACCCTACCTGTCTCGCACGCGCGCTTAACCGCGTGGGTCCCTCTCCCCACCCATCCTTTTCATCCGCTCCCCATTTTCATTTTCCTCTTCCAAATTAATCTACAAATTCAATTACTAATTTACTACCTTTGCTGATGCTATGGATTTCAAAGTTTTTATTTACTCTATTATCCTTTCAAAAATTTTCAAACTTCTTGCTATACTTTTCGCTTAGCTTTTATGGTTATATTTATGTAGACGGCCCAATAAAATTTGAAGTTCAGTAAAAAGTAGGAGAGAATGAAGGAGCGATCATTTGTAATTAAATGGAAACTTCTACCATTATAAAAACTAAATTAAAATCAAATTCTAATCATATCTACCAATATATAATCATTCAACCTAAAAGTGCTAAGCTATCCTATCAATGTAGTTTCGATATTTCAATATTGTATATGTGTGGCCCATGAAGTATATGAAAATTTGCAGCCACATTTTTAGATTTAGGTTGTATTTTTGGTTTAGTCTTTGTCATTAACATATGATTGTGGAATGAGAGTGGAAGCAAGGTAAAAGGGGAAAAATGTGGCCAGAATTTAGTCAAGATTAGGAGGCTGGCACACAGAATGGTAAGAAAAATGAAGGAACTTGCTATTGGGTAATTGGAGTGCATAAAATAATATTTAATATATATGCGATTGATTGATACACTTAACCAAATTATTCTACACGTGAGTTGAATTCCATATTAAATGTTTGACTCTGCCTAAGCCTAATTACCAAGTCACCCCTTCCAATTTGAGTCAATCATGCAACCGACCCAACTTCCCTATCTTCCTTAATTTCCCTTTTTCTTTCTCTCTTTTACTTACAATTTTTCACACTGCAAAAAGTCAGCCTCTTCTTTTTCCTTTTTCTTTCACTAACATAATAATAATAATAATAATAATAATAATCAAGAAAGAGGAATTTAGGTTCTATTTTTAAAAACTTCGGTTATTGTTTCAAAAGTTGTTTAGCAGTGAAAAACTAAACACAGTTTTTATAAGCTTTTTGACTTTTAAAAATGGGAAATTGAAAACAAAATTATTGTGGTAATTAAGTAAAGTTTAAAGAGATCTGAATAAATTTATGTGGGTTAATTCCTCACTTCAACTTCGTCACTTTCCTCTACTTTTAAGCTTTTTGCAAAAGAGAAATTAATTATTGAAAGGAAAAATTAATATATATTACATTATTTTATTTTATTTGACAAATCCTTTTAAGTATAGTTTCAAAAAGTGTCACTATAACCCAATGAAATTTGACAAATAATTATGGTTAGTCACTAGAAAATCAAATTAACTATTTAGTGGCTACTTTAATTAGTAACTTAAGCTGTAAAATTGCGAGGGGCTTAAAGTAAAATCAAAAGTAAGCTTCTCTTAGATATAATCTATAAATATATATATAGGTCGATAGTGTGTTTGAGATTGTTTTTAAATATACTAAAAAAAGTGTTATTGGTTGATTAAAAATATTATATCATTTTTGGCTATATATTAATTATTTTTAGTGAATTAAAATTCTTCAAATCATTTTTAAAGTAGCCTGAGAGAAAGTACTTATTAAGATATGTTTAAGAATAGCAAGTACAATTTTCCATAGAACAAATTTCTAAATACTTTTGAAAGAAAATACTAATTAATACTCCTGCTTTTTAAATGTTGAAAAGAAAAAAAAAAACACTTCTCAGCATGCACAAACATTATGATGAAAATTTTGAAAGAATTTTTTATTGGTCAAAAACATTTTTAAGATATTGAAAATTTATCCAAAAAATAATATTTGTTAATTAACGCTTATTATGTAAAAAATTCATTTAAATAAAAAATAAAATTGAAGCAATAAAGGGGTAATATTACAAGCTAATCATCTGACGTATATCATTGATGCCAGGTATCTTCAATAGTAACTCAATCTTAGTCAATAATTGAAAGCATGTCATTGGGTAATTATACAATAATTACTACAACGATCAGGTGATTTTTGTTATATATGAAAATTTGAAAAATAATTGCTCTATATTAAAAGCTTTATATAATTCTTTAAATGTTTTATATGGTATTGTTTTTAAGATGTTTCATTAAAACAAATAAAAATATTATCTTTTCATTTTTTTAATACAAAAAATGGGTTATAAAAGATTTGATTCTCCGATCTCAAAGAAATGAGCAGAATTACTACTGAGTAATGTTTACGTTGACAATATTTTCACAGTTACCCTTCCGTTTAAATATAGCTGGTGTCATGCATTTATTTGGGTTTAAAAAAAGTTAAACTAATCATATTACCCATTATTTTGGGAGTTTCTTTTCTGTAAAGGCTGAATAATTCTTTCAAGGCATTAAAAGATACCCTAGCTACAACTATTAAATAATAGCATAGTTTTTTTTAATCACTATATGATAATGAAAATAAAACTTCTTTGTATCTAGTTTAGCCTCATAAAAGAAGGACTAAATTTGGCCTTAATCCATAATAACATTTTTTTTTTTTAGTAAATAATCCATAATATCTTTCTGGTACGTAAGATAAACGCTTTTATTGCCTTTTAATTTCTAACAAAAGATTAAAGATGGGTTTAAATAAAATTGAGCTTTCAAAACAGTCAGGAAAATAATAGAAATTCATTACAGGTGAGATATATAAAATCTATACAACACAATAATATCCATAAAATGATTAAGTAAATCATGTAAGATAAAATCATATAAAATATATGATGCATGTGTTAGATTATGTCCAGAGGTTTGACGTCGTTACGAATTTAAGGAAGGGAAGAGAAATATAGGCCGTCGGATGCAAAGACATCATTGGGTCTAAACCATGACGTGACCGTCAGATCAAGCACCGTCATCCTCACCATCATTGTCAACCCTACAACCTTTATTCTCAAGGAACAAAAACAATTCTGTTGTTACAAATTTTCTTTTTTTCTTTAAAAAAATATATGAGTGGGAGAGGAGAAGGGAAAGGGAAAGTAGGGAAAGAAATGAATAGAAAATTCGATTTCTTTTCTTTTTTTTTTTTAAATCTCTCTCTTTTTCTTGCTCTCGTCCTATCCATCAATATCTCCTCGAAACGTCAACCCGATTCCAGTTTTAATTTTTATTTAACTCAATTTTCCACTTCTTCAATATAATTTTTTTAACTGCCATACCAAAGCCAACAATCCCACAATCTCTTTTACGTATCTATATAAAGGAAGAAGTGAGGGAGAAATCGATTTTAATTTTTTGTATATCTTTTTTGTGGTGTGTAATTTCTACGATGGGAGAGGATTTTCAGGCGGGTATTTGCAGCGATAATTGGTGGAGCTCTTCGAGGGTGGCGATCGGGGGATTGTCCCCATGTTCGGTCGGGATCGCTGACTTTGGCTGGCCGCCGTCCGATGATCATTTTCCCGACATCAAACCCAAGCCGTCCGATAACTCCATGGCTTTCCAAGATCATTCCGCCGCCACTTTCCCCACCTCCGATTGGAACCAAACTGATGATCTCCTGTAAGTAATTCTCTTTTTTTTTTTTAATCAAGATCGAATTTTTTCATCATGGACATTTCCGAAATCGTGTCTTTTCTTTTTTGGTTGTTGGCAGTTGTGGCGGTGGACGAGGTGAGAGCAACTTCAATTACAGCCCAACCAACATGGATTATTGTGAGGTTAATTCTATAAAATACAGTTCATCGAGTAGTAGTTGCCAGGGTTTGTTTCCTGTTGACTCAACTACTTTATATGGATACCCTTCAAAGTTGCAGCTCCCAAGTTTATACGATGATCCTCAAAGTCATACCCTTTTCAACACTACTACTAGTGATTTATCTTTATCATCAACTCCTAATTTTCCTTCTAATTATGGCCTCAAACCCTCACTCCCCAAACAGCCTCAAGCTCAGCCTATTTCTTCTGGCTTGCACTTCACCAATAACACACCCTTTTGGAATGCTTCCGCCGCAGCCTCAACTGACAATATTCCGCAGGCCATTGTTTCTTCCGGCCAACTTCTGGCGTCTATACTTGAAGACAGAAACCCCAAATGCCAAAACAGTACTCTTGCTTTGAAGGTAAATTTAATTAGATAAATCCTTAATTAGGTTGTTGTTGTGGAGGTTGTTTTAATTAATTAATTAATTTTTATATATATGATTATTGGTGATTTCAGGTTATTAGTAGTGCTAATTGTGAAGATGGTCAAGAGGCAATTAAGAAAGGTGATCATAATAAAAATGGTACGGCCGAGCCACCAGTGTTCAAGAGGGCTCGAATTGAAACTCCTTCGCCATTGCCAACATTTAAGGTAAGATTTTATGTGGGATTTCAAATCTTATGTTATTGGGAACAGGAATTGAAATAATGTAGGAATGGCTATGGGCTAGGGGTGTGTGGTTTAATATATATTTTAAAATGGTTTGAAGAATCTTGAGGTATAAAAGAGGACAAAAACTAATGGTTTTTGCAATCAGGTGCGGAAAGAGAAGCTAGGGGACCGAGTCACTGCCCTCCAACAACTGGTTTCACCGTTTGGAAAGGTGAATTTTTTGGATTTCCTTGTTTCCCCTTTTAGGGGAAAAAAAAAAAGAAAGGAAAATTAATAATACACCCACGAGCCGCGGGATAATATCAATGAAGGAACGAAAGAAAGAAAGAAACTTTACTTTTCCAAAGCCTTTCTAATTTTTCTTACTTATGATTAATGTTTGATGTTTGTTTGTTTTGTTTGTTTTTCTTCTCTCCTCTCAGACCGACACTGCCTCAGTTCTACATGAAGCCATTGAGTACATCAAGTTCCTCCACGATCAAGTCGGTGTATGTTCCATTTATATATGTACTTTAATTTGTTTTGAGAAAAAAAAAAACAAACAAAACCCTTTAATTTTAACGAGGAATTCTAGCAACTGATTATTTGGGTTTGTAATTTCAGGTATTAAGTACTCCATATA